CGTTGGACTTTGTCTATGCCATTCGTTTTCTCCGTGTTTCTTCTTGACGAAAGATGATTGCATTTTGGTTTTTTTAATGGGTGGTTGGCTGTAATAGATTCATATGGGGTTGTTAATAATTCTTTAGAGTATTTGTATACATCCCTGTGGGGCTGCCCTCTGTATGGAGGCTTTGCCGTTTTTTCATGTTCAGTTTCTATTGTGAATTTTCTCTTCCTTTTAGTCCTTTTAAAATAGATAAGGTAATTTAATCTAAGCATCCAATCTGGGGAATATCTAAGTTTTGACTTCTACATTTGTTTCTATGAAAAGCTTGCCAAATTTGGGGGGGAATTATATTTTAAATCTCTTCCCTTACCTTCACCCACTCTTCGTTGCTAAGCTGGCATTTGGGTCTCTTTCATGTGGCCCTTTACCCCTTATGTCGTGAGTAGTTTTTATGATGGGATGGCTGACCTAGGGACAGGTGGAACTTTTATTTTTTTATTTAAAAAAAAAAAATCACAAATTAAGTTCTCGTTACTGCTTTCTCATCTCTTATGTGGGCTCTGCTTTCTAACTCGACTCTACTTCTCTCTGTCACTTCATACTTTGTCCTCAAGTGTCTCCGACTCCACGTCTTGCAGTGCTCATCTTTGATCCAGCAAGATTCTGCCTCATCGGCTGAGCATTGGTTAGTTCAATGCGTTTCTTTGAATTTTGCGTAAACCTCAAATCCCATCGTGCTGTAAACACATCCACACCACACTTTCCTTCCCCGATACATAAGGGAAAATCAAAAGCTATTCTTGTTGGTCTCCTTTCCCCCCCCCAGCATTTAATATAATCTTTAAAAACAATCTTAAGTTGCTTTCATATTATAATTAATTAATTAGAAAAATACACCAAAAAAAAAAAAAACAAAACAGAGAGAGATAAAGATAAAAGATTTAAAAATCACCCACCATCTAACTGCTAGAATGCAGCCACTGTTTGGCATATGGAAATTTTTTTCTAGGTTTTTTTTTTTTTCTCTATGCACGGGTTTTTTTTTTAATCATAGTTGAAATCATTCTGAATGTATAATTTGAAAGTTTGTGGGTTTTTTTTTTCACTTAACATAGTCAGCATAAACATAACAGTCAGACAGAAAAATTTTCCATTGAGTAGATTTACCATGGTGAAATTAACATCTTGTGGGTATTATTTAAATGTGTATGTATTTTTTGTCAGAAAAAAATGCCAAAGTGGACATATTTCTGAACACAGTTTTTCCTTCTTTTGAATAATTTATTTGAGCTCAATTCTCACGGGATGAAAGACTAATACAATTTTTATGACTTATAATGTGAGTTACCAAATCCCAAAGGTTGTGTACCAATTTGTATGATCACCAGCACATCAGTGGCTGTTTCACAGAAACTTTGCCAGCTTCTCTGTAAAATTTGGTAAGCAAAAAGTTTATCTCTTCACAAATCCTTTTCTTGAAGCTGCTTTTGTGCTTTGCGTGTTTATCTTGATATTATTTATTTTTATATACTCTTCACACAGAAAGAACATCATTTATCTAACATATCCGTTGCATTTTGTTTCTTCCAATATATTATTTGATGTTAAGATTTTTTTTTTTAACAAAAAGAAATTTCCTATTTTTGTGCAGTCAAACCTGTCCTGCTTATTTTCTGTTTCCGTTTGCTTTTTAATCATTCTAAGTTGACAGCTTTTCCCTCCAGTGATTTTATAGGTTGTCTATCATATTACATATTCATCTAGTTGTTCTATGGTTTGATTTTTTTTTTTTTTAAATGTATTCCTTAATGAATTTGGAATTTTGTTTTGAGATTACAGGCATGAGCCACCACGCTCGGCTGCTATTTTCAATAGTCAGTGGTTACTTTAAGGTTTTCAAAAAATCTTACAGATACTTCTTACACATAGAATCTTACATGTACATCTTACACGTATCATCAGAGTGAGAAAACAGAACGATGACTTTCAATTCCCCATTGTGGAATATCAGCGACAGGACTGACTGCTTCCCCCAGGCACTATCCTCTCCCTCGTTCACGGCTGCAACGTTCCTCTTGCCTTGCTAGTTTACCTGCGGCGTAACATCTTGGAATACAGGTCGTCTCGTTTTTACTCTTTTTTTTCCCCTTAAATGCAAATCCATTGGTCTGCTCATCACAACTTAAGTCTCTCTCCATAGTCTCCTGCTGCCGGCGCTCAGCTCTCAGCTTTCTGCCTTGATGTCTCCGTCCTTGCGTTCCTCTTCGTTATTATCTCTTGGAGGTCAACAATTTCGAGGCAGTTTTTTTTTTTTTTTTTCCAGAGGCCACGCATCCCAGACAGTAACTTTCTGTGCTCCTGACACCTGAACACCAGCCTGGTTGAATATGAAACTCTTGCATCCAAATTCTTGCCCTCGAACCTCTTCTGATGTTAATTATTTTTTCAGAGAGGTTTCTAAGGAACGGGGGCTGTTTGTTCGTGAATGTTTATAAGGCTGTATCTTAGTGACATTTAGAGATGTCAGCATGACATCTGGGAGTGGCTCTCTTCATAAACTTTGCATGAAACATGGCATCTCATCTTCTCTGTTGTTCAACTCGGCCCCACCGCTCAGGCTCCAAGCTGCTCTGGTGACCAGCAAAGGTTGTCTTGGGCCCTCGGCTCTATTCACAGACCCCGTTTGTGGACCTGTGACCTTTCCCATTCAATCCTGTTTCCTTCCTGGAGGGGGCTGGGACTAGGCCCCACTCAAATCCTAGGGAGCAAAAGGGCCCAGCCATCCCTGCTGGTGACAGTAGGGAGCTGGCCCAGCACAGGGGGTGCTGCAGGGATGGAAACTGGGGGTGTCTCCACTGCTGCCTGAGACTCTGGCCAGATCCCGGTATCAGTGGAAGCACAAGGATGGCCCCGGTGGTGGCCACGCAGGTGTGCTGCTCAGAGGGCCTGCTGCTGGGAGCCCTGGTGACAGACAGCACAGCTCTGCCACTTCAGGTCCACGGTGATGTTGACACTGAGGCCACACTCTCCTTGGGCTGCTCCTAGCCAGTGGCCGAGCCCAGTAGAGGTACTAGTCGTGGCGATTCCTTCTAACAGGCACCCTTGGCTCACGGATGCCCCGTGGCCTGGCCAACACGTTCTCAGGTCTGCACTGCCGTCTGCAGCTCTTCCTACCTGTCCTTCCCTCTCTCCTTCCACAGGGCCAGACCCATGGTGGTCTGAGGCTGCCCCGTCTCCTCCTGCTCCCACCCCTTCATCCTTGCCTGGAACTTCCCCTAGTCGATCTCTCGGGCGCTCACACTAACTTAGCATCTGCCGCTCAGCCGCTCAGGGGGCTTGATGGGACCCAGCCTCCCACCCTGCCACTGACAGCACCACTAACTGATCAGTGTGGACACCTGGGCGGCCAGAACTGGAGTTGCCCATGGCCCCAGGCCCCAGGCCAAGTGCGGGCAGGTTGCCAGCCCCCACTACAAGTGGACTGGTTTTTAGTAGTAGCCTTCTTTGAGAAGGATGACTGTTTTGCCTCTTGCTGCAGCCTGCAGTGCATTTACACCTTTTTATCTTTTCCCAGTGAAGTTCTTGATTTTTTTTTTTTGAAAAGAATCTTAAAAAGATGGTTTCTTTGGACTTTCAGAGGGAATTCGGAGGCTTAATTTTTCAGATTCTCCATTCACTTTACCTCAGCTGGAAGTATTTTTTCAACCTAATTTCTTTTTGCCAGAACACAGAGGGCTTCCTCTGGCTTCACAGATTATGGTCTGAGAGGTTTCCGTTTGCAGTCTGTCTGCAGTTCAAATGTGACTTTTGGGAGAACTCAACTGGGAAGCGCTGCTCGCAGATCGTGGCTGTCGTGCACTCGTCCACCTGCAGTGATCAACGTGGGCGTGTCGCAGCATCCTGGCTTGAGCGCTTGCTGTCAGGCCATTTCTCTCTCTTTGTTATTCTTTGGTTTTTTTCCCCCAATTCAGCCATATTTTGGGTTTGGGTTTGAGTTGGTCATTGAGCATCACTGATTTTTTTTTTCTTGGCCACTTTAGCTCTAGTCTTTGGACCACCAGCAACATGATGGATTCCTCCATGGAGTTTGCCTGAGCAGGACCCAGCCCAAAACAGATGCCCTAAGTTTCTTTTTTTGCAGTCTCGTTGGATCTCTCTAAACATAAGCTTCTAATTGCACTTATCTTTGTGGTTTTTGGTTTTTTGCTATTTCTGAGTTCAAAGGCAACTTCTCCAAGCCGGTTTTGTCTTCCTCTTTGGTGTTGTAACATTTTTCACTTAGACTGGAGTTGGGCTTTGGTCTGCTTTTCTCATCATTTTTGAAATTTATCTTGTAGTTCCAAGTTATTGTAGCTATTTTTTGAGATAGGCTTGTGGCCCTTTGAGCATGTCTGGTGAGGACGAGGCAGCATGCAAGTTCGCATGTGTTCTGAGCGTCCTAGAGTAGGAGAAGTTACGCTGGGGGCCTGAGTCCAGGACTGGCCTTGCCAGATTTTCCACTGCACGAACCCAGGAGGCACCATCCACACAGACCAAGGAGTTGAAAGTTTTAAACATGAGGAAGTACGTTTTCCTAGATCTCCTGTGATATAACCCATAAGAAAAGTTAACACATAGGAAAGCATAGAATCTTTGAAAAGCCACCGAATTAAGTAATGTGTGTTAAATGTTTAGCAGATATTGCTTAATGGATGATATATCTATAAATATCCATCTATGTGTATATATATACACACACACATATATACACATACACATATATATACATACACACATATATACACACATAGACACACACACGCACACACATTCTTTTTCATTAGGGGTTAGAGAGGGCTTGAGAATAGTATTCCATATAAGATCTTAAAAATACCCAGTCCTTTCTTCCCACAGGTGCCCAAGTGAGCCATAGTGATGGGAATCAACAGCAGAATGAGAATTCTTTTAGCAGCAGCTGGGTAGCAAAGAAATGTGACAGGAATGTTTATTGTGGAATTTTTTTTGTTTCTCAGTAAAACACTAGGAAACCTACCCGTTTAACAATGGCATGCAAGGAAGCCATGAGAAAGGAACAGTCGATTCCTGCCTGTTGGTGTGGAACAATTTCCAAGAAACATTGTTAAGTGAAAAAGCAAGGGAGAGAGTTGCAGGTATATTTTCCAAATTTTATAGAAGTCATACTATTGTATGTATGCGTGCATGTATGGAAATGCATATATGCATATACTTGGAAGATTTCTGGAAAAAGTATGCAAGAAACTGGTAAGCACGGTTGCCTCTGGAGAGAACATCTGAGGCCTGGGGGTGCAAGGGAGGCTGAATTCCCTTTGTATGTTCTTTTGAGCTGTTTGAAAATCTTATCGAATACATAGAATACTTTTTCCATTAAAAAAAAACACAGTATAATATAATAACATAAGCTAAAAAACAAATAGCTACAACTGTCCTCAATGCAGGATTCTCTGGTGAAAGACTCTTCCCTGTGGCAACTGTGTGGGGATCTCGGCGGCTGCGAGGCAGCAGGCATGGAGAGAGGGAGCAGACAGGGCGGGTCTTCTCCCTGGTGGAACCGGCTGGCCCGCTGCCCGCCATGAGGCGGTTAAGGGAGAGGCCGCGTGTGAGCGACCCTCAGTGCGGTGCTGCTGTGCACTAGTGCGCGGCGTGGCCAATGACCAGGACCAGTCTACGTCTAGGACAGCAGCAGCTCGGCCTCACGTGGGGGAAGGGGAAGGGAGGGAGGGAGGAGGGAGGAGGGAGGTGGGCAGAGAGGCAGGTGGGTGGGAAGAGGGTGGAAGTTGGCTCCTATTTGAATTCTGTTTCCAGCAGCACTGTTTCTGGGGCCTGGGTTGAACGCCTGGTTTCGACCTGCTCCGGGGCCACCTACCTTGATGCAGAGCCCCACAATGCCACTCGCACCCCGCCCCACCCCTGCAATCGGCCAGGCTCATAAGCAAGACCTGGCCAGGGCCTGCCTCAGCCCCTTTCCCTGAGTAGCCACACCTGCAGCCTTGGGCCTCTTGTCCCTGAGGCCAGTTCTAATTTTCTACCTATCTAACGGCCTTTCTTTGCCACTTCATTCCCTCTGGGAATGCCCTTTTGTCCACATCGCTGCCACTTCATTCCCTCTGGGAATGCCCTTTCGTCCACATCGCTCCATTTTCTGTCCGGTTTTCTCTTTGGGATAGCAAGAGTTTGCAGCAGCTCTGGACCTTCCATCTTCCCAACTTCAACTCCCACAGAAAGAGCTCCAGCCCCTGCCTGGAAACCCCGGCACGGGGTTTTATTGCTTTTTGTTGTCTCTGGGCAAGTCACATGTCTGTCCCTGAACCAATGAACAATCCAATCACTGTGTCCAGGGGAATGTGGTGACCACCCACAGCCAGGGCTGCAGTCAACTCTGTCTAACCATCAGGAACCCAGGTGGGGGCGGGCAGAGGGGACAGGTATAAAGAGGGGCTGAGTCCTGGAAACAGTATTTGCATCCCTGATCAAGCTGTGCCTGAAGCTGGCACTCCCCTTGCTTTCATGTTTTGCATTCCTGAAATTCTCTTTCTGCTTGAACCAGTGTGGGTCGGGGTTCATGCCATTACTTCTTTCAACAGAAGGGATTCTGACTGAAAAAGAGGCACAGATGTTCATCACAGCATGGTTTCACTTTTGCAAAAGAAAAATGTGTGTGCGTAGAAAGAGAGTGAGAGAATGAGTCTGGAATGATACCTACAAAAAGTAGCAGTGGTTATGTCTGGGCAGCGGGATTAGAGGTACTATTTCATTTGTGTATTTTCTAATTGTGATTCAAGGAGCATGAACTGCTATGTGGTACAGGGGCAGTGTTTATTATTCCGAGCGAAGTTGTTTGAACCCTTCGCTCCAGGAGGGTGAGAGGACCCCTCTGATCTATCACTGGTGTTGCAGGAAGGAACATGAACCAGCCCGACACAAGCGGGAACTGCTCATTCAGCCACGTGGACGAGCTGATGCGGACCCTGCAGCTGGCCGTCCACACCCCCACGTTCCTCCTGGGCCTGCTCCTCAACCTGCTGGCCATCCGCAGCTTCAGCACCTTCCTGAAGAAGAGGTGGCCCGACTACGCCGCCACCTCCATCTACATGATCAACCTGGCGGTCTTTGACCTGCTCTTGGTGCTCTCCCTCCCGTTCAAGGTGGCCCTGTCCCAGGTGCGGCCGCCCTTCCCTTCCCTCTGCACGCTGGTGGAGTGCCTCTACTTCGTCAGCATGTACGGCAGCGTCTTCACCATCTGCTTCATCAGCCTCGACAGGTTCCTGGCCATCCGGTACCCGCTCCTGGTCAGCCGCCTCCGGTCCCCGGGCAAGATCTTCGGGATCTGCTGCACCATCTGGGCCCTGGTGTGGGCTGGGAGCACCCCCGTCTACAACTTCCATGGGACAGTGGAAAAGTACACGTGCTTCCACAACATGTCCGATGGCACCTGGAGTGCCAAGGTCTTCTTCCCCCTCGAGGTGTTCGGCTTCCTCCTTCCCCTGGGCATCATGGGCTTCTGCTCCTCCAGGAGCATCCACATCCTGCTGTGCCGCCGGGACCGCACCGAGGACTGGGTGCAGCAGAGAGCCTGCATCTGGACCATCGCCGCCAGCCTGGCTGTCTTCGTGGTCTCCTTCCTCCCGGTCCACCTCGGCTTCTTCCTGCAGTTCCTGGTGAGGAACGGCGTCATCGTGGAGTGCAGAGCCAAGCAGGGCATCAGCTTGTTCCTGCAGCTGTCCATGTGTTTCTCCAACATCAACTGCTGCTTGGATGTCTTCTGCTACTACTTTGTCATCAAAGAATTCCGCATGGACATCATGGCCCATCGGCCTTCCAGGGTCCAGCTGGTCCTCCAGGACACCACGGTCAGCCGGGGCTAAGGGAAGGACACCCCACTCAGAGGAAGGACACCCCCAGCCCCAATTCTAGTAGTGAAGGGCTTTGATGCAGGGGACCATCTGTGGTGCATTCCCTGCTGGGCTTCTCCTCTGATGCTCATTGGGCACCAGCTTCGTTGTACCCCAAAGACCTTTCCCCAAAGCCCGGACAACTTGACATATATCACCTACTGTTCAGGGACCTCTGAAAAACCCCAGTACCAGGTGAATTCTTGATTTCTAAGTCCAAAAAGTATCAGGCAAAATAATTGAGAAAGAGAATGAGGCCATCTGAACAAGGCTATTTCCCAACTCCCTGTCCTTCTGTTAGACTAGAAGATTCTGGAAATAGAGAGAAAGAGGAGTTGGCCGAGGGAATCAAGAGGGCCAGTTATGGTGGAGGGTCTTGGGCAGAGATGGAGTGGTAGGAATAGATCAAGCCCCTTTTTAGTTCGGAGATCCCGGGATGGGGCAGACTTGCATTTTCTGGTCCCTTCTTGAGCTCTGTTGGCCAACAACCTCACCAAGACAACAGCAAGTGGGGGGTCAGGGTGGGCAAGTGTGCACGGTTAGCCCCAGGTTTCCTATGGGCCTCAGAAAGGCACAGGATGGTGGCCAAACCTTCCCGTGCCCAGGAGAAGGCTGCAGAGGACTGAGGGGTGTTGGTGACCCCCAGGAGCCATGAGGGGACATGCTACACCTGGGGAAGGGGGAGACAGGCCAAGAGCTGGAAGTGGACCGGGCCAAGGGCTGCCACTGGGTGTCCAACACAAAGAGTGTTAGTGGGAGGCGCCCTGGGAGGAGAGATCCTGAACGAGACTGCCTTTCTATCTCGGACGGACTGGGGAGATGGTTATTAGACTTAGCTTGTCTTGTTACCCTGAGTCCTGGCTGGGCAGTTGGCACTGAGGGCACTGCCCATGGAGCTGTCCCTCCCCGGTGGCTGGGAGGGAGCGAACGAGGCAACCAGGCACAGAAGGGCAGCAGGGGGCCCTTGACAGCTCCTGTGGAAACGGTAAACAACTGAGTCACTGCTCCAATGGGCGTCTCTAACGGTCTAGGGAGGGAGCACGTGGTGACAACTGAAGCTTCCTATGACTCAGCTGCTCCAGAGAGTGAAATGATTAGAAGGATAAATTGCGGGGTGGTTTTGCATGACGACGATGCGAGAGGGATGAGTAGTAAGTGAGACTTAATGTGATCTAGGCGCAGGTCTTTAGGAAGAAAAGCAACCACAGTCTACCTGGAGGGTAAGAGGCGCTGGCTGCTGAGTGGGGGCGGAAGGCCCGGGGAGCGGTGGTATGTGTGGGGGAGAAGATTTAGATAAAACCCTAAAAAACCCCAGCCCTGCCTATGGAGGGGGAGAGGGAGGCGTGGCGGGGAGTGCAGGCTGGGGCAGGACAGCGGCAGGCAGCTTCCCCAGCTGGGCTGAGAGCCCCGAAGGGCCGGAGCTGCCTCTGCTGTGCTCAGGTCCCGCTCCGCGGAGCCTCCTCCCAGGTGGCTGGAGGGAAGGGTGAGGAAGACAGTGTCAGTGAAGGGTGGAAAGGGGTGTGACCTGACCAGGAACAGAGGACCAGGGCCAGCAGCTCCGGTCCCCAGGCCTGTCCTCCAGGAACTGGCAGACCCAGCAGCAAGGCCAAGTCCTGCTCAGCCACCCCAGGCCCTGGACACTCCTCTCCTGGACTACAGGTCGCACCGTCCCATGACCCTCCTGGACAGACACCACCTGGGACACTCGGACAGAGCCCGACTGTTACACATGGCAGGACGTTCGGGGCTGGTTTGGGTCAGAGTCCGTGGAAGGAGCACCCCTCCTCCGATTCCTCTCTGCATCAGTTGCTGGAGTGCACCTGGCAGAGCTGGGGGTGCCCTTGGCGTGCACGTGTCCACTAATGTGCTTCAGCCCAGATGGGCTTTGGAAGGGAAGAGGGTTGGCGGACCCTGACCACCCACCACGCCCAGTGATGTTCAGACACAGCATCTTGTCTTGTGCGCAGCACGACTCTGTGCAGGCGACAGAGAAGGCTCCAGATCCCTGGGAGGGGAATCACCATGAACGGCAGGAGTCTAGGCCCATGAGCTGCGTAACTATCGGGGCAGGTCCTTGATGTGTCCTGTGGGCCCTCGGTATCCCGCCACCCATCCCACTCACTGTGGGGAGGGAGGGCACTTCTCTCTCCCCAGGGGGCCGCAGCCTGGCCTGTGGGTCTGTGGAGTGGGCACAAGTGCCCGCTCCAGGCCAGGGTAGCTGCTCTGCGGGAGGGTCGGCGTCTGGGCCCACGTAGCTGCAACCCAAGCTGGCCCGTGATCGGCCAGCGGCCCAGCGGCACGGGAGGGGCAGAGGGGCAGTGCTGGGGTTTGGGGTAGGGGGTGATGCATCAGGGCCCACTCCTAAAGCAAGTGGCAGCCAGAGGGCCAGGAAATCCTGAACTTAGTGGTGGAAAAAGCTGAAATTCCTGCCACTAAAGCCAGCGGGGGTTTGCAGCCATTGTTTGCTCATAATGTGACCTTATTTGCACTCCCAGTCTGGAAAAACCTGAGACATACCTGTTGCATGTACATCTGTGAGATCAGAACAATGAATTGGAAAGAACTGATGTGATTAATGTGATTTGCCAAATAAATAGAGTCGTATGATGCTGCACGACCTTGACTTGGGCTACACTTACTGGCCCCAGAGAAGAGCTGGCCCCCGATGGCCCCTGCCAGGTGACCGCCATCTTGGCCCCTTCAGTAGCCACCTGGACACCAAGCGTGAGGCTGCAGGGAGCTGGCCCTCAGGACACAGCTGGGCTTGTCCCAGTGGCCAGGGGCCAGACTGCGTGGGGCCCAGTTGCCACTCCCCCACGTCCACCCGGGGGCTTGGTCCTCTCTGGTAGCAACTGGGCCACAGACCCCACATGTCCACTGGGGTCCACCCCATCCTGCTCCTGCCGTCTTGTCCCACCACCACCCAGACACCAGAGCTGCCTCCATGGTCCTGGCTCCTCTGCACACACTGGGGGGCCCCATACAAGAGACCGGCTCGTCTCCCCAGGTCCTCCCCAGGTGACCCCTCCCTTCTCTGGCCACCTGTGCAGGGAACCCAGCCAGCCCAGGGGAGATTCTCCTGGGCTCTCCTCAGCTCCTCCCAAGCGAATTTAGCTAACTGGATGATGTGGACTGCTGGGCTCTGGCAGTTCACACCTTTCTCCCGAGTTCCCCACAGTCCTGTGCGGCCTGGGTGCTGGGGGCTGACGGGGACATCCTCGCTCCATCTCCTCCTCACCCAAGAGCCGTCTCACGTGCGGGCCACGTTCCCCCGGGGAGGATCTGACTTGGAGAATGCCAGTCCACAAGCAGCATTGGTTGATTATAGTCCTCTTGAGTCACGTCTCTGGGGACCCTATGCAGCTGAAAGTCATTATATTCATGCTGTGCAGCTGCTACGGAACACTAAGGACATTTGGAATCGTAAGATTAACACTGCCGCAGCAAGTTACCACAGATGAACAGTAATTGCAAAGACGCTTGAAATGACTGAGCCCTGGTAGGCAGGTGCAGAGGGGCGTGGAGGTTAAAAGGATTTGGCTAACAGAGCTGTGAGGAAAGGGACAGGCAGAGTGCCCGTGCGGTGTGGGGACAGGCTGCCGTGCAGGACAGTCTGAGGTCCAGGTGGAGACGCCCCACAGAGCAGCCGTGGGGTTGCCCACGCAGACCCTCCTCCTCCCGCCTGGAAAGTCGGCTGCACCGCAGACGGCAACTGTCCAGGCCCAAGGAAAGGCCGGCTGGGGCTGCCGTGAGAGCCCCACTGGTGAGGACAGGGCACTCCAGGGCCCACAAAGGTCGTGCCTTTTGGAGGGAGCACCCCCTGAAACTACCGTTGCAGCCACCGCCCACTTTTCCTACCCAGAGCTGGTGCGCCCAGGACACAGAGCACCGGGTGGGCTTTTGATGGAGCGAGGATAGCAGGTCGAGATGGACTCCAGGAGCTCGAAGTGCAAAACAGGTGACCCTCTGCCCCCCCATCAGGCCTGACCATTCCCTCCCGGGCCTGGAGCCTGCAAGATGCACCCCCCTTGCAAAGCTGCTTCAGGAGGCACCTTGATCTTGAGTCTCAACGACAAGCAGCCCTCAGTGCTTTGAAGTCTGGGGAAGGTGGAATCAGAGGCATTGTCATTTCAAAGCCTGACACCCCCAGTTCACCTTTAGACCTCAGGTGATACCTTTATTCTGGGGGCCCCTGTGCCTGAGAGAGTGCAGCCAAGACACTTCCTGTGAAGGGAGGTGTGAAAACTGTCTCCACAGGGCGCACCACCATCACGCACACGTCTGTCTGGGGGGCGCCGATACAACGTCTCAGCGGGCATGTCCCCCTCCGGGAAGCCTTTTCTCTGCGGCTGGCTTTGGCTGTGCGTGTGCACAGATGAGTGTGCACAAACACACGTGTGTGTTCCACCTGCAAGCCGTGTCCTGGAGCAAATGGCTGGGGAGGCAACACAGAACTTAGGAAAGATGCGGAAAGCAAAACCAGGCGATCCAGACAGCTGACTCTCACAGATGGTGCCTTGCAGACGAGGTGACCCTGGCTTGGGAAAACACTAGAGTCCAGTGACCTAGTGATGGCTGCGTGAGGCCCAAGGCCAAAGCCCAGTTCTGGGCGTGGGTGGAGGGGTTTCCCCCAGAGGCCTGGGACAGGTAAGGAAGGCTCCAGAGGACGGGCTCAGGGGAGGGCGTGTTTGAGGTGGTGGGACGCCAGGTAGCACCAGATGGGTGGGGAGAGCCCTCCCCAGGATGGGCCGGACGGCGCTGGGCTCTGGGCTCTGGGCTCTGGGAGTGGCCAGGTCCAGCGTCACATACTGGCCTCTGTGCTGCGCTTTCCCTCCGGTTTTCCAAATCTTCAGTCCCGACTTCAAGTGGCAGGCAGGGCGCACTGAGGGGAAGTGCAAGGACAGGGGCGCACACGCAAAACCCCAGCCACTCGGGGGCCTTGCCCGCACCTCCTGCCCAGGACACCCAGAAATACTTGGGGAGGGGAACCCAGCAGATAAACGGACTTCCCCCGTCAATGGAGTTGGTGGGGAGCAAAGTCATCATGACTTGAGTATTAAAGAAAATTTCACTCCGGAGACTGGAACATTCAAATTACACAGATAAAATAGGGGTGAAATTTGATGATTAATAGAGCTGTGAGCTATCGGCATTTCTTCCCTGGAATTTCACCCTCCAGAGAACATCCGTACACGGCAAGTATGGCGTCTGAGTGGGCTTGAGCTGCCATAGCAAAGCACCACAGGCCGGCAGCTTAAGCAACAGGAATTTATTTCCCACGGTTGTGGAGGCCGGAAGTCCCAGATCAAGGCCCCTCCCTGCCTGGCTTGCCGATGGCACCTCCTCACTGTCCAATTGGCAGAGAGGGACAACGAGCTCTCTGGGGTCTTTTCTTATAAAGACACTAATCCTATGGGACCTTAATTACCTCCTAACAGCTGTATCTCCACACACAGTCACCTTGGGGGTTAGGGCTTCAACATACGCATTTTGGGGGACACAGTTCGGTCCACAGCAATGGCTTTTATGCTGTGACCTGGAGCAGAAGTGTCCTGCTTCTTTCTTCTCTTCAAATCAAATGTAATTTGCACAGAGCTCCCTGAGTTTCAGTGTAGGATGCTCCAGCGCCACCACCCTGGGGCTCCCTCCTGCTCCCAGGATCCTGCACGAGTCCTAGCGGGGGTGTCCCTTGATGGCTGTGCTATTTGCAGAGACCCCTGGGTTTCAGTCCGCACTGCTCACAGCTACGGTGCCCATCAACCAGGCCTTCAGTAGTGACATCTGAATCCTACTTGGCATGAAGCTCACTCCTGTGGTCTCCAGGACCTCCGTGGTCAGCGCTCTTGCTCCACCAAGCCTGAGTCCCCTTCCTGCAGAGTGCTTGTCCCGGCTCTTCTTGGCAACTACGACAGCCCTGCCCCTTCCCAGGCCTGGGTGCCGGCAGTCTCACCCTCCCATAAACAGTCCTGCAGTCCTTTCTCCATCGGACCTTTGGATGCACAAGCTCCCTTTTCAGGCAAGGGGAAGGAAAGAGATGTTCAACCAGCCTGACTCTTCCTACCCTCTTACTTGTGGTCCTGTTGGGCAGTGCCCTCTGCCATCTGAGGGTGGAGCCACTGTCTGGGTGTCAGCCCTGGCTGAGGCAAACAGCTTCCCGCACCTTCGATTCAAGCTGAGGGGCACTGTGTTTCCTGGGCAACCGCTGAGTGCCCACTCCTGTGTGGGACAGGGGGTAGACCGGGGGCTCACAGCCCCTCTGAGAGACCAGTGAGTACCCGGGAAGTGGAGAATAGGGCGACGCTGCAGGCCTGGCTTGGGGCATGTGCGACAGTCCCAGGCTGCCTTCCCCAGGTTAGTGCTTTTCTAAACTTAAAAAAAAAAAAAAAATCTCTTAACAGCAGTTTCCCTGGCAGGGCGTGGTGGTCTGGTTTTAAAACGATGAAAGAGAAGCAGCTATGCTGGAGGAGGGGGTGTCTCGAGCCCCCTCCCTCGGCCCCGTCAGCCGCAGTAGCCTGAACGCAAGCGGCGTCCTGAGGCCTGTGGCGTGAGTGGCGGGGACTGCACGGGGGTCTGTGAAGCGCCCACAGCCCCTCCTGCCACCTGTACCCCTGCCCATCCCGTGGCCTCCTGTGCAGAAGGCCTCAGGCCTGGCTTCAAGGCCCCGCCGGAGCCACTGCAGGCGCTGCGGCCGGTGTCCTGAGAAGCCACTAAGCAGCTCTGCACCGGGAAGCTGTATCAAGGAGTGCCCTTGGCTCTGGCCTTGGAGGCGGGGTGAGGCGGCGGGTGTGGCGGGAGAAGCTCAGCCCGGATGCATCGGCTGACCCCGGGAGGAGCTCCACAGCTGAAACGTTGCTCCGAGTCAGACCGAGTGGGAATGAGACGGTCAGAACACCGGACCTCACAAGGCCCAGTCCTGGATGTGGCCTGGGAAGGGCTTGACCTTGGCTAGCCGGCCTCACTGAAGGCGGCCTGGCTGTGCCTCCCGGGGTGCCCCCAGAAATGGGCGGCCACAAGATGCGGCCAGTGGCTCAAGCCACGAGGCTGGATATATCTGGGGGCCAGCTCAGCCCTGGGAGGAGGGGTTGGGGGCCCACGTGTGCCTGGCCCAGGAAGCAGGAAGCAGGGTGGCCAGTCTGAGGCTGTGGGGGGCGTCACTGAGGGCACAGCTGGTCAGTCGCATTGGGAAGGAATGCAAGTGGGCAGCCAGACGGAGAAGGTCTTGGGAGCAGAGGCAGCTGGAGACCCTGGTGCCCAGCTGTGGGGCCTTTACAAGAGTCAGACCCAGGGTCGTGCCTTGACGTCCCTTTGAGACTTCCCA